ATTTGATTTCAGCCTTCTACCGCTAGGCATCTTTTCACATTACTTTGGTTTGAACTGAGGGCTTGATCATTGATTTCATGACTAAAAATGACTTTGGTTCTGCTTAGTATGACTTAAAACCTTTTTGTATACATCAGTCCTCTTTTTAAGTGATCAAGGCAATTTTATACTCAAATATAGTTATTGTTTCCATCTATTTGGATCAGTTTAATGATACATTAATAATTATTAAAGTGAATTGGAATCTGTTGTAGGGTTGGATTACTGTTAGAGTTCCTGAAAAGACTTGAAATCAGAATCACTTTCCAAGTATTATTTATAGTTTGTGATTTGCTTTTTTTTTTCCTTTGCAAAACATTGCTGTAGATCTGAATGGTGAACACAACATTTGTGCAACTTTCTCTGAAATTTGATCAGCCCAAATGTCTTTTAGTTTTATTGCTTCTGTAGCGTGTTAGTCATGATAACAAGATACTTTCAAAAACTATACTGGTAATTACTTTTCTGTAGCCCCTTTGGACACAAATGATCTTACTGGACATTGATTTGTTTAGCCTTAAGAAATAGAACTTCAGATAAGACGCAAAGCAAATTGTGTAATAATGTAGGAACGGAGAGCCACTTGTATTGGAGAAACAAAGAAAATGGGACTGAATTTTATATTTAAACAAGTGAATTAAACGATGTGAGTCTAAAGCCTCAGTGAGAATCATTTCTCTTGCACAAATATGCACACTGAGTTCTTGCTGGCATTGAAGACAGAGTTCTGCGAGGCTCCATGTACCTCAGCAACACCACTTCTCTGAATTACATTAAACCAGTTGGGGCATGATGAAAGAATGCAAGGTATAAACCCCTCGAGGGCCTGTGAGTCACCATCTAGAAAGGTTCTTGAAAGGGTAAGAACATTTTGTAGTTTGATCAATAGGTGCCGAAAAGTAGGCTGCAGGGTAAAGATAAGTTGAGGATTAAAAACTTTTGGAAACTTAAAAGAATTTAATTACTATACTAAGAAAGTTCCCGAGAGAGAGAGAGAGAGAGAGAGAGAGAGAGAGAGAGAGAGAGAGAGAGAGAGAGAAACTGAGAGAGAGAGAGACTGAGACTTTTTATGTCTCAACCAGCAACCAACCTTTCTTATAGGTCAGAATTCAACCAGAGTAGATTTAATGATAACCAACCCTTATTATCCCACACTATGGCACACACACAGTTTTTGCAGAGATCCTAGTGACCACCATAGTAGTTTTAGGTAACACCATGAGGAAGCAAAGGATGGGGTTGCAGGCTTCAAAATTAGAGCAACTTTCCTGTCAAATCCTTCATAGAAAAAGGTGGTTAGTCTATTTTTCCAGCCAGAACAAACTTTTACTTTGAAGGTGCATGCAATAATGCGGCAATTGGGGTTTCTTCCCTCTTATTACTGTTATTTTAGTGTAAGTGAACAAACTCTTCTGTCAATGTGGTTATAAAGATTTGGGTTGTGTTTGTACAGGAGGAAGTCAGTGTCATGAAATGACCCCTCTTGCAAGAACAAAGGTGTAAGTAAGGGAGCCTGGCTAAGAATTTATGAATTCAGGGCAGATTCTAGGAGTTATTGCTACTCCTCTGGCTTTTGCCTTAGCCCTTAGATAATTTACAGAGCCCCACCATGAGACATGACTCAATAAAAACTGAGACTTCTGAGAGCTACTGTGTATGAGGCACACCCTGTGTGAGCAGAACTGAGCCAAGTCCATGGAAGCAAGGGACCTCTGTTGGGGATAGCCGACTGGATGGGGTAGCTATGATGACAGAGAGAGATGGCAAGGAAAGGCAGAGGAAGCCCCGCTTAGCGACTCGTACCCTTGGAGTTGAACTTGTATCCAGCACAAAGCCCCTTCTCCATGTTTCTTTTCTGGGTTACAAAGAAGAGGCTTTGTGTAGAGTGATTCTCAGGGCTTGCAATGAGAATTAAGAGGAAAGCTCATTCTATTGAGATACCAAGGAAAGAAAGCAGAGACCATGACAAGGGGCAGAATGAAGGGGGGAGAGTTGCGTAAGGGATCAGCCAAGTCTGGTCTGTTGCTCGCTTTGCTCTAGCGCCGTCGGTGCCCCTCATGGGCCTCCCTCCCTCTTGCCAAGAGCTAGCCAGAAGCCTATACAACAAGATTTAAAGAGCCTGTAAATGTGGGTCTTCTGTTCCCGGGTCTGCTCCTTGGGTGAAAAGGTGCAAGTGTCTGCCTGGCTAGATGACCTCCTTCGACACCATTGTTTCCTCTTCCTGGGGATTGCCAGGAGGACCCTCACAACAACTGCTGACACATAGTATTATCATAGGTTTTGTGCCACAGATAACACCATTAAAACGTGTTGTAAAAGATCTGCTTCACAAGGACACAAAAACACTTCTATGCAAAGAATCAGAAAAAAATACGTTTGAATTGAAATTCAGGTGCACACTCATTTATAAGCACCGAACCCCAAAGAGCTGAGGTTTCCCCCACCATTCCACTGATACACAGAGGTCATTCATCAAAGCTTTCCTCAGTCTCCTTGATGGAAAACTTAAAGTTTCCTCCTGTTTGGTGCTTTTTGCAGTGCTTCCCAGTTCAGGCTTTCACTCTTAAGTCACCAGAATTCTGGCACCTATGGCTCTTTCTGGCAAACCAGTGAAACAGGTATCACAGTTGCTCTGTGAGGAACCCAAGTTCATCTAACCTGGGTTCTAAGTCTGGGCCAACCAAATGGTACTCGACCCTCTTCCCAAACCAGCCCTTTGAGAAAATCTTCCTTCTGAAACATTTCATGCTTCAAATGGGGAGCAAAAAAAAGAAGTGAAACAGCTTTTTGTCCAGAAATTCTCCTTTGCAAAGGTTGATTTTAGGCCTAACAGAGATGCCTTCGTAGAAAGAAGTTATCTATGAGAGCCAAGGTGATGGGGTTTGAAATTGACAAAGAGATGCGGACTTAGCTTTTTCTCCAGAAAGGTGACTTTCTGCCCAGGGATCTTCCATTTCCATTAATCAGAAGTAGTCCTTTAAAAAAAAAAGCTGTTGAGAAAAGAAAAAATACAAACTTACCTCCTGTTCCATGCCCCAGGCAGTCTCCTTGTGTAAAGCAATCTGTGGCAGCTAGTCAAGTGTCCTGGTAGGAGTTTTCCCCTTGAACTCTGGCTGTGAAACTTCTTAGAATCTCTTAAAGCAACATCTTACAGAGCTCCCATTTAGGCCTGCCCTTTCTCTCCTGATCTCTCTCTCCATTTCATCTTCTCAGATTCTCCTTTAGAGGGTCATTTTCGAAGAGAAAAAGGCAAGGGGGACCCAAAAAAATCAGAAATTATTTTTTTGGGGGGCGGGCCCCTTGTACTACAGGCTTCCCCCTCTAGGTAAGTGTTCTAGAAACCCTTATCAGTGTACCTGCTAGTATTGTTGTGAGAGGCTGCATTTGGCTCCAGTTAATTTTTTTTGGAGATTCTTTCAGTGTGTTTGCTCATTTCATAATGGTTGATGTACAGGCACACCTGACCATGAGCTGGGTGTTCAGCCATTTTTGACCAAACATGGCATGACCCCCATGTGCCATCTTCCCTATTCTCCTGGTCTCACCCTGAGCAACTTTGTTTTGTTTCCCTGGATGAAAAAAGTCCTCAAAGGGAAATGTTTTGTTGCCGTGGAAGAGGCAAAACAAAAAACGGCAGAAGCACTAAAAGGAATCAACATGGACAAGTTTAGAAACTGTTTTGAGCAGTGGAAAAAGTGTCTTGATAGGTGTATTGCATCAAACAGAGAATATTTGGAAGGCAACTGAAATTTTTTGAGTCGGAGTCTCACTCTGTTGCTCAGGCTGGAATGCAGTGGTACACTCACGGCCACTGCAGCCTCAACCTGCTGAGCTCAGGCAATCCTTCCACCTCATCCTTCCACCTCAGCCTTCCAAGTAGCTGGAACCACAGGCACACGTCACCACACTCGGCTAATTTTTTTATTTATTGTAGAGACGAGGTCTCACCAAGTTGCCCAGGCTGGTCTTAAACCCCTGGGTTTAGGCAATCTTCTCACTTTGGCCTCCCAAAGTGCTGGGATTACAGGCTTGAGCCACCGCACCCGGCCAGAAGTTTAAGCATGTAAGAATAAATACATGATTTTTGATAAATCCTGGGTTTTTTGTGGGGGTCTTCTCTCGTTTAGGCATTGAATTGAAGTGATGAGGGGTTTCCCCTTAGTCTGGAGAAGTTAGAGCATGTATAGGTGTTCTGGCTATGGGAAAAGGAAGCAAAAATGCTACCCACCAGTTTTTCCATGTGTATGCAGTGTGCTTTCACCTTCAGAGATCTTGTTGACTTGATGGTCCCAGGGCCCTTATAACTGTTAGCCATTTTCAGGACCTAAAATGAAATAAAGGGATGGTTTTCCTACATAGAGAGAGATAGACTTAGGAGGAAGGAAAATTGGCATTAGAATCAAATTCTAACCATTTCTTTTTTGAAAAAATTTCTATCTTTAAATCAAACTATATTCCTCCCAAAATTAAAAATAAGAGTTCTGGCCACTTAATGAAAAACAAGTCTTATGGAATGTTGTACTGTGTTAAATTTGCAATTGTTATAAATAGTCAGTGTGCAATACCTTTGTTAACTATTTTTTTCAATTCTTAAAACAAGGTATGTTGAAAGCAAGGTTGAATGTAGCTTTCTCTCATGCATATAAATTTAGTTCAAGCCCCTGTTTTAAGGAGCTTTATGTGGTTGAACTGACACTGCTTAATAAACAATTGAAAAAGTTAAGCATAACCTAGAAGTCATTTAAAACTGTGAGTCACTTTCCTGACAAGCCAATAAGGTAAGAGAACCAGGGTTGCAAAATAATTACTAGCCCAGCCTGAGGGACCCTGGAAATATATTACAGGTATCAGTTAAGAAAACAAAGCAGTGGTGTTTTACCACTTTGCAGAGAGCAGGCTAAGGTTGCTAACCTAACAAAATAACTTTACACTGACAATGCCAATTTTCACATTTGTTTCAGAACAAGGAACGCTCAAACTACCTGAGGTAAGTTTAACATTTAAAATTTTTTAATGTAACTTTTGCATTTCAAGTTGTTTGCTAACTTAACCGGGCTTGAGCTTTTACAACGATAAGTTTGCTTTTTTAAGATGAGTAAAAAGAGACAGAAACAGGGAGAAGCCAAGTGCTTGTGGTGAAATGCATAAGCTAAATTAAAGGAATTTTCCTAGTCTCTGTCTGAAGAGCTTAGGTAGAGGGAAAATGTGGATATTTAGCACAGAGGGAAGGGTGATTCTCATCCCAGGAAGTTGGTGGACGTGTCTCCTGTCATGAAATGTTGCTACCTGACATTTGCCAGTACTGAAAAATTCTAATGTTGTTCATCTAAGACTATGGTTTCTTGTTTCTGGTAGTTTTCCATTTGAGCACAAACATGATTAATATCGTGTCCTACTGATCAAATCAAGATCTGATAACATTTCCTTTTGTTTGAACACAGAGTCTAACTCCTAATGGTTCAGGAGTATGTGATCCCTGTTACTTCTCAGAGTAAAGTTACCTAAAAAAAAATACAAAAGAATAAAAAACATCACAGATCCCAGAAAACCATTGCCTTCAACCAAAAGAAACAGATTTCTCACCTGACTCAGTAAAAGTGACCATAGCAAAACATTTTTTAAAAAAACATAGCAGAGAAATATAAAATATAAAATGCGTGTGATTCATTATGTGAAAAGTAATCTGAGAATTTCAGAACACTAGAATGACAAACATTGCTTAGATTTTAACATCTAGCAATATTATTTCTCTTTAAAAGTAATGTAATACTGGTTTGCTTTTAGTAAGCTAGCGTTTATGCAGATGGTAAAAATAATGAAAAGTATGGCAAGGTGTCATTTTAGAGACCCTTCTTTCAACGTTTTTACTTAAGCGCATCATTTGTACACATACTTTTCAAGAGTGAGAGTTGAGGAAGCTCCTATTATATGCACCTATTTAGTGTATCAGTTGTCTGTATTTTAGAATCTAGAGACTAGATCAAGGAACGCATGAAAAGGTACTGAAAAAAAAGTCCCCCAAAAAACAAGCCACACAGGTTCATTTAGGGCTAAAATAAATTAACCTAAAATTTCCTTTAGTGTTTCATCGACAGATAAGTTATCTCATCAGGGTTGTCTATCAGGATTCTTCCAGCAGGGCTGACTTGCAAACGAGTTTTCTTTCACTTTCTCACGCCATTATGTTACTGAGACAGACACCTTGTAGAGCTCTGAACTTTTAACTCGGTGTTATTTGACATTTATCCTTTTAGGTAGATGTATTATTTTTTCCAAGGAAGTTGGTTCCATTTTATTCTAATGAAGTAACATGAAGTGGGTGTGTTTACAGAAAGAAGGTGTGCTAATAAGAAGTGGTTAATAATTTTCACATGATAGTAAATAATTCTCACAGGTACTTTAATACTCTTAAAATGACATGTAAGCCTATTATGAAATGAATTCATTTTCACATTGATTTTTAAAAATATAGCATCAGTTTTTAGTGACTTAACTTTTGAATAAAATAAGTATAATTTTTATTTCCTGGGGGAGTATGCTAGTAATCTCTACTTTGGATGGAGAATTATAGTAAGCTCTTATACTGGCCAACCCACTTGGAAACTTTAGTTAAAGAAGAAGCATAGCAAAAGAATATTGAGAAGCATCTTTCATTTCATACCAGGTGGGTTCACCTCTGAGACAAATGCTTACAAGATGCTCAGGAGTCTTCCTATAAGTCAGCAGTGAAGCCCTGTGTAAGCTCTGGGGTTTTTATTTTCCCCATTCACTTGAGGACCTTCTTTTTCTCTGTGTACCAGTTTATAGTCCTCTTCTGTTTCCCTTTCAATAACTGTGATTGGGACTTGTTTATTTTTACTTTTGCACTTCATTCTCAAGGCAGGTCAGTTTTTAATGGCCTCAGGATATATGGGTGTCTGTAACTACACCTGGGATGTTCACCTCACCTTCCCTTCTGGAGTGAAACTTCAGAAAACCCCTCTGGCTCCAAGAAGTTTATCATGCACATCTATTTAGCCATTCCATAGGTTAAAACAAGCAGAAGAACCAAAGTCAACTTCCATAGAGCAAATGAATCTTTGCTTGTTTTCTTGGTAATCAAGAGAGAATTTGACTTTTTTTTTTACCTGAAAGGGGAAAGAAGAGGGAGAGATTCTTGGATGATAAAAAAATTTTTTAAAAGAGAAAGACAAAGTAATAGGTAGCAAAACAAATTAACTACCAAGTGCTTATAAAATGAGGTTGGTTTGTTTCCTCCTTTTAGAGAGTCAAAGGAGATTGAGACGTTTCTGAGGGCTGATTCTTTTGGTGTTGTTGGACCTTAACCAAGAGCTCCTGGGGTGGCTGTTAGATGTGTCCTCCTTTGCTTCCCCTTCCTTTGCCTGCTGAGGACAAAGGCCTGTCTAGCTCTGTCCCAGGTTTTTGAGAATGTAGATCGGGGAAAGGGGAGTGTACAGACAGAGACTACAGAATGACAGTTGAAATTTGCATTGTAATGTTGTTCAAAATATGTTCTGCTAAACATATATAAAATACTTCTTAGGTTCTTTTAAAGAGTAAAAAAAATCTTAAACTCTCCAAATGCACCTGGTCTAAGGAGCTGAAACTCTCCCCTATATTGTTTACTTCTTACAAATGCCAGATCATAGCTTATTTCACTGCCCTTCCTTCCTGTAGAAATGTTTCTGTTTTTAGGGCAATGATTTTCAGTGACTTTTCAGGGGAAAGAACCTAAAACATAAGTAGTAAGGCTTTAACATAGTAGAAAAATTTTTTCTTTGGACGAAGTTAAAACATTCAATCAAAATACCATGAAGTTAGTAATAATATGAAGAAGTGATCACTTAATCCTTACCATGTGGCAAGAGGGCTTCCAAGCACTTGACATAAATTAATTAATTTAATTCACCACAAACCCTATGGAGTAGGTGCTAATATCATCTCCATTTTATAGATGAGAAAACTGAAGCACAGAGACGTAAACTAACTTGCTCGTGACCAACCAAATGACAGGGTCAGAATTTGAACTTAGGTATCCTTATTCTGGATTCCATATGCTGAATACATGCAATGTGTTGTTTATTTTAATCCTGAATTCAAGATAATATAGAATTTCTCTTAAAGGTTTAATTTCTTTAAAGGTTTCACATTTTAAATTTAGTTTCTAAATAGTACTAGTTTTGGATTCTAGAACTGACCAAAAGACTGTATTCCTTCCCTGCCTTCCCAGCACTTTGCTATAGAAGGTGTAAGATCAGTAGAAAAACAGTTTCTGTTGACACTAAGGGGGGCGTCAGATGTGGAGGATGTACGAAATATCAGCAAGATGCTCATCTTATATATTATCCTGTTGAAAATATTGTCAATGTTGTTGTGCAATGCTCCTTTTATAGCGAGTTCCCCAAAATTAGACAACTTCAGGCCAAAATGTGTTTTTCTTGAAAGCAGTGTTCTTTCGTGTTGTCAGACATGACTCTGTAACTTTGTGCCTGTTCTTTATTGTGCCTTGGCTACCAAGAAGTCCCAAGCACCATTTTCTCTCACTCACAGTGTCTGTCATCGTGTGTCCAGTGCCACAGTTGGTCTTGCTCAGCAGAGCTTCAATGCTGCTTTTAATGTTCCTGTTAGTCCTTTACAAATCCATGTTGAAAGTAGTTGGGGTAAAGCCCCAAATTACATTTTTTCAATCTCTGTAACCTGCTTTCACCTGAGGTCCCTGAGAGTCTGCTGGATGTGACTTTGAGGCCCTTAGGGAGGCTGAAAAACTCCATTTCACCCATTTATCTTATGAATAAAAACAGAGGGAACCCTGAGAAAAATCCATGGCAAACGCGTGCTTAGCATGGCTGAGTGTGTTCTGATTGAAACCTAGCTTCCACACACAGGTATAGACCCCAACACACACAAAAATAATATTGTTGTTGTGAAAGTCTAGGTTGTGTGATAGTCACAGACTCAGCATTTCTTCCAGTGGTATAATAAAAAGTGAATTCAAGCTCTTCTTAATTAGTGAGATTACTATAGTTACTAGGTGGGACTGCGTTGAAGCCTGATGAAATCAAATGGGTAACCATGCATTTTCAAAGATTTAAAATCTCTTTTGCATCTCATCTGTAAGTTTTGCAATGAGCAATTTTTCTTGTAAAGTATTCAGATACAATTGGTCCATAATTAAGACACCATTATCATGTAAGTGTTTACTAAAATCAGAGCTTCAGATCTTTGTTTTAAGGTTGTATACCTTCTTTATTCTCTGGTCTGTCAGGCCCCATAAATAGCTGAGTTAGAGTTTTAGGAGTTTGGTTTCAGGCTATTGCTCATATCTTTGCTGGGAACATTTTCCAACGAAGAATGGCTGCCTGGGCTTTGTTCTACCGTAGTGACTATAACTTAAAAACAAAAAAATACACCAAAAAAAACCAAAACAAAACATTTTGAGTTACATATCTAGAGCTGGCAAGTAAAAAGATTTCTTTTTCTCAGTGTTATCAGTGGCTTACCAAGTGTAATGACGTTCAAGTGGAAGACATTAGAAAAACAAAAATAGAAAAGGTCGAATTGAAAAGCAAACTTTCAAACCATGTTTTGATCAAATTTAGTCAGACTTCTAATTGGAAAAAAGTGCAGCATTCACTGAGCTTGTGAAGTGTCAGAAGCAATATAATTTAATAGTGCAAAATCACCAACTCGTCTTTGTTTTGCCTTGTTTTACTTCTCTGCACAGAAACGGACCAATGGACTCCGAAGAACTCCCAGACCGGTGGATCCAGGTGTGTTTCTGATTAAACATTCTATAATTATGACTTCAGTTAAGTGATTTTGAAAGTGTATGGGAATTGCTGTTGAAAGTTGAGTATTTCATTGGCCTTTGTTCCTCACAGTCTGGTGTATAATGTGTGACCAGGAGGCCAGGGTCTAAAGTGTAAATACTTCACATGGCTCACTCCTGCCACCACCAGCAGTTGAACTGGTTATTTGCTTCCCGAACAGCCTTGGGGTGCCTAGTTAATGCTCACTGATCTGGCACCCTCCCCCTCTTCCCTCCTAAATTTGGAAAGAATGTCAACCAGCTAGCTGGCACCTAAAAACCATCCTTTTCTGAGTGAGCAGTACAGAGCATGAATCAGACAACTGGTACCCTCCCCATTTGAGAAAATGGCTTCATCCTAGATCGACACTATTTTATAAAAGAAACATGGTTTTTAGGACTTCGTGAACAACTTTCAGCTCTGGAGACCAATTATTTGCAGAAAATATTCAGTGTTTTCCATGTAACATTGTGAGGCTTGCCCTGCCATGTTATTAGTGTAAGTCCATTTTTTCATCCATTATGCAATGCTTCCAGTTTAATGACCCGGGATTTTGTTATGAATGTGATCCTTTTATTGTGAGTAAAATGTAGGTATTCATAGCTAAAAGAGTCCCAATATATGAACTGGATAATAAATCAAGTGGCATATGAACTACAGAGCAGCCTTGCTGGAAAATAATCTGGATTATGTGTTTTGTTTTCTCATCATAAGCAGTGTTCACTAAGTTGTAAAGGTTAGTTTTCAAAGCATTATAGCTTATAACTGAAACCACACCCAAGGTAACCATGCCAGTTTATGAGCTGTTAGAGATTTACAAGAGCTTTGTTGCCTCTGGCTAGAAATTGCCTCACTTGTGTCCTGAGATCAGTTTAAACCTTTTAACTACAGAACAAAATGAGGCCATTAAAAAATAGGAGTTCTGGCTTACTTTTTAATATTCCTAACTTTCCCAAGACAATACTTTCAGAAGAGGACTCTGCAATAATATATAGAAGTGACTTCCTCTGTTCTATTTAGTAAGAATGTATGACTGTGAACATCATATTTTTTCTCTTATTTCCTTTGTTATAGTATTTCTATTTCAGACAATTAGCTAACGTTTGTAAACGTTGTTTTTTAATTTTTTTTCTCCTGTGGGCATTTTTATTTCTTCTACTGGCTCCCAGGGAAATGCATTTCTCTATTTCTAGTAGTGTGTTGGTAGGAACACATTTGACTCTTAATAACTTCCTTTATAGCCAACATTTTCTAGTCTCTCTTAGATTATTTAAAGGAAAGTATAGTAAACTCACAGATTGTAAACATGGCAAGTAGACCAATCATAAAAGAAACCTTTTTCACTTTATCCAGCGGTGATGGCCTTGTGGATATGTAACTTTTCTGGTGTTTCAACTTATCCAGCTTTACTTTATGAAGAATAAACTTACAAAAGTAATGCTGTTACAAGTTACATTTGTAAGAATATATATGTAATAGTCTTCTATTAGGTATAATGAATATATGAGTGCTTTTCTCATTTTTCCACATTTTTATTAAAAAACAAGCAAAAACTGAAACCGAGTAGTTCATGATCTTATCTGTGGAAGCTGCTGATGTGGTAACACCTATTTCTCCCTGTAGCTATCTTTTGATGTAGCCTTGAATCATGTATTTAAAGTTGCTTGACTTTTACATTCTGCCTCCTCCTGCTGTCAAGTGACAAAGCTTCTTTGTTCAAAGTTAACCCTTGCTTGATGATCATACTGCCTTGATCTTTATGTGGTTATTGTTTAGCAGATCTTCACCCAAGATGTTTAAACAAGGGATTTAAAGAAGCAGAATTGAGTCTGCATGGGCAAACCGCTTGGCGCATTATTTGCTGCTAGTGCTTTAACTAAGGAAAGTTCTTTGATGTTTTTTCTCGTATAGCTAATTTAGTTCTCATCTTCAAGTGCCAATAATACACTGACTGCTTCTAGAGCCCCATTTAGGGCGGCTTATAGAAAACACTGATTAAACAGTTTGGGAGGCCGGATGTAACCACTTTATCAGGTCCAAATTTCAGAATCATATATAAAGGTAAATTATCTGTCTTCTCCTTAGATCTTTTGTATTAGAAAGGAAGTTAGTGCATGGTTCTGTGCGTACTAGGTGTTTCATAAGTATTTGTTACATGAATGGCTGAATGGCTGTAGCCTATTTCTGTATGCATTGACTCTCTTGCTTTTTAAATTCCTCCTGCTGGTGTACTAATGAACACGGCATAGCCTGGTGGTGGAAAGAATGGCTCCGAGCCATGTTGCCTGGGCTTGGGACCGGACTTCGCTGTTGACTTGCTGTTTGACCTTCAGCAGTCTGCCTTCTGTCTGTGCTGTAGTTTCTTTATTTGTAAAAGGAGACTAATAATAGTATTTACCTTACACAGTTGTTGTGAACATTACATGAGTTAGTACATATGGAGTGGGGAGGGAAGGATGCAGAGGGACACAAAGTCACCTATGGGTACAATGTGCACAGGTGGTGGTGGGGGGCACTTAAAGCCCAGTCCCAAAACTATTTGTACCCCCCCAAAGATATTGAAACAAAAATATATGTGAAGTACTTTTTTTTTTGGAAAGCAGGATTTATTGAGAGGGCAGAAAGACTTCCACAGTGGGAGGGGACCCGAAGGGGTTGCCCAAAAATACACGTCAAGTACTTTTAAGAGTGCTCAGTAAGTAAATGCTGATGGTAGCAATGACTATACTAACTAGTTTGTACTAGAGCATTTTCCTTAATATTGGACATTTTGTCATGTGAAAGAGAATTAATAATATGTGCTTGTTATTTCTTTGCAAATGTACCCTGAATTTTATGTTGAATTTCCATTGAGGCAAGAAGTTATACAAGCACAGTCATTTTCAGATTTACCATTATTCTCTTCTTACCTAGTGGTTTTCATGATCTTTTGCTTGTCTTTACTAATAAACACAACCAATAGTTATGGCTGAGAGGATTTGGTAACATTATTGTTGTTTGTGATTGCAGCAAAGAAACAAAGAAATAAAACTCCCAAGACTAAAGATGTGCACTGTGGAGTTTATTCAAATTCAAGACAAATGTGAGCTGTAGGTTTGCACTGGAGCTTGTTAGCACATTTATAATGCTCACCCTGTATTAATAATTGGGGATAATCTTTATAGACAATATTTGCACATGTCTTTGCTCTTTAGTTTATTTTTTTCTTGTCTTCTATTGTGAGCTAAGAAATTTATCAACTTATAATCTTGACTGCTTTTATAAATACAGTAATGTGTTAGATGCAAATTCTTTTCAATTTCTTAAATATAGCAGGGTATTTTCATCAGCTTGTACTTTTCTTCCTGAGACAGATGTTGGTATCGAGAAAATAACACTTGTAACAGACAGATCAATTATTTCAGGAACACAGAGGTGCTAGGCCTTTTTCAAGAACATGAGATCATAAATCTCAAGAAAATCTGAGCACTGGTGTAATATTTTTCACCTAAAGTGGCACTCAAGGTCAAAGTTACCAATTAAATTTTAATACTGAGCCTTAAAAATTTCCTTCTGTCTAAGTATAGGAACTACAAGATTTATTTCAGTTTGCAGGTAGCAATTCTGTATACCAGGGCATGTATTCTTTTCACTGAGTCTATGTTTTTGGATCAGTGCAAATTATCTTATTTGTGGAAGTCATGGCATCCTGTATTGAAGTCCACAGTCACTAGCTTTTCAAAAATTCAGGTTATTGTTCTGTGTTATACTGCCTAAAGATGAGATGGAGTAGATGGAAAAATGTTTAGGCAGCTTACTCCCTTTCTGATCTTATGTTACTCTTGGCTTTGTGATAACCTTGACTAGTAAATGAATAGACAATGGTGTAATTGATAAGAGTCTTTTCCTGACAATTCTTGCTTCTCATAAGCTCACGGTCCTACTCTTGATTACAAAGACATGCATATGACTTAAAAGCACTGCCTTTCTTATTCACCAAGGAGATATCTTACTGTTTCTTAGCAGAGACATTTTTGAAGATGGTCACTTTGTCTTTCAGGTGGATAAGAGTGTTATAGAACGTCATTTTTATTTGTTCCTGGAGGAAGAAAGGAATCCAAGAAATCTTTTTTTCATTGCTAACTTTATTTCTTACATGACATTAAGCACAGCAATGTCATTAATTGTAAAACATGGCCCCTCTCCACAGGGAATTAATATTCTACCTAGGGAAGGAATAGGTGCAGACACAAAGTTTTGGATGCATAAATGCATGCATATAAATGTACATAAATGCATGCATATAAATGTACATGTAAAATATTTTAATATTATGTACTGTTTTATATATGGATCAGTTATTGCATGGCATAGTATCTTAAAAACAATTAGTGAATGGTCTGCCGACGCAGTGGCTCACACCTGTCCCCCCAGCACTTTGGGAGAGACAGGAGGATCATCTGAGAGTTCGAGACCAGCCTGGGCAACATAGTGAGACCTCATCTTTACAAAAAATTAGCTGGGTGTGGTGGAACACACATGCTGTACCAGCTACTCAGGAGGCTGAGGTGGGAGAATCACTTGAGCCCAAGGGTTTGAGCCTGTGGTAAGCCATGATCATGCCACTGCACTCCAGCCTGGGCAATAGAGTGAGACTTTGAGTCAAAAAGCAAAAAAACATCCATCAAGCAAACAAACAAAAACTAGTGAATGGTTTGATAAATATGCAAAAAGGTCTATAATTACACAGTATATGCAAAAAAGCAACATGAATTGTAAAGACTAGCAAATGTGGGCTCAAATTGCTTTTCAAGCTGGATTATGTATAGATGCTTTCATTTATATAAATAAAAATTTTATTATGCTTGTTTATTATATTGAATTATAATTTAATACAATTTTTCTTAGTGTTTTAATTTGAGTATTGCTGAATTCATTCCAAATCTAAGCAAAATTGTTGATTTCCTTTAGATTTGCTTTTT